GCCGGCGACTCACGGCAGCTCAGCTCCAGGTTGAGCTGTTGTTCAGCATCTTAGCTGTGGAGAGCAGTGTCACTGGCCCTCATATGTGGGATCCGAACCAGGGTCCTCTGGCGTCCCAAGCCAGCTCTTAATCAATACGCCACTCGGCCGTCCCTGTATACACATTTTAAGAAAGGAAAAAAAACTGTATTAAAATTGTAATACTCAATATGTACCAATAACACTAGATAAATACAAGTCATGTATACATTTTTTGGGGGCACCCCTGGTATTGTCCCTGAAATTGGAATAAATAAAATTGTTCTCTACCTCCTACTAAAATGTTTTACAAAATGAAATAATTTGTAAAGCTTTCTTGTTAAAATATCACTTTTCTTGCTCAAAAATTATAAAGGCTATTCCAGATGATTTGAAAATATGAAAATTTCTTATTAAGATTGTAAGGTTTAACTATATATTCATTTGAAGAAAGGTGGGTATGTCTGTTATCAAAATGCTCCAGGAAATACTCTCATTAACTCCTTTTTTGTCACTGCCAAAAAGGACGTGAGATCTCTTTAAACACCAAGTAAACTAGAGACATCATCCTGAGGTTTGGATTCTTTTAAACAACTTTTGTTTTGTTTTATCTTCTGATTCCAGTTCTCAGTGTATAGGATAAATCATTTAACCTTAATCCTTGAATCTTTGAGTAACAGTGATTTGACATAACTACCTCATTAGTGTTGTTACTGCAATAGTATTGGAGTAAGTGAATAGCTGACCAGAAAGGATTAAGTGAAAATAGGAAATAATATCGAGGTCCCAAAACAAAAAGACTCAACCTGCCTAAAATATAATTGTTTTCTATAATATGTGCTTTTATTTTTCACCTCCTTGGTGATTTAATTTTTCCCCTTTCCAGATTTCAGAAAGGTATCAATTTTAACAGGCTCAAAATGTGATATCATGTCCCATGGAAGGGGAACTGAGTGAAGAGTCATGGGTGGGTGTAAGGAGGGTGGCCAGGACCAGTGACAGGGAACCTGTAATGGTGCCTACTCTTATGAGGTGAGACCCTCCAACTGAGTTTTATTGGCCAAGAGCTCAGGGGTGTGACTCAACCTTGTCCTAAATTGAGGATTAACCTCAAAGGATAACAAAAAAAAAAACAAACAAAAAAAACAACCACGTGAGTTACATTATAAAACCATCATCAGTAATTCCGCAAAGTTAAGTTGGTACAGCTGATGACCTAATTTGAACATCCTGGCTAAGTTACACGCACATCCTTCTGACCTTGGGAACTATAAATCCATCGGTTCTCCAATTTGTCTGCAAATATATAGTTATTAGTTAATAAAATCATGAAATGCATGGATTCGTCTTCACCTCCAAATTCTCTTTTCTCTGTCACTTTCGATATCTTTGTGTTCTCCTTTTCTTCCAATTCCTTCATCTTTCCAAAACTGGAAAGATTCTGATAGTGATCATTTAAACTGTCCCAATATAGAAAGCAAAAGGCATAAAAAAGCAAAGTACTTAGGAAAAAAATAAAGTAGTGACTAAATTCAGATGAAATATGTAAATTGGTAGGTTGGAATTTCAGTCAATATGTGGTCACAGAATAGCATTTCCATTTTAAGTGGCATCTATGTGTTACTTCTAAATGTGAAATAAAGGATTTTGTCCTTTTAAAATAATTTTCAGGCATCAGCAAATGTATGGACAGCACTTTTCTTGGGCAAAAGGCCCAGAAATCACACTACAATTCTGAAGTTCAGTCCGGGTGGTGAGCCAGACTTAGTCCTTTCAGGCAGCTGTACTTAAGGGAATCATACGACAGACACCATTGTCTTGCTGAGTTTGACCCCTGAGAATGTCAATCAGAAATGTGGCCTCGTTATGGCCAGGAGCCCATTTTCAGAACCTTGCAGAACAGAGGATGTTGTATTCATCATTACCAGACTTTCAAAGAGCAGAAATCCATCCCACCCTCGACATAGTGAGGCACATACTATTTTACAAATTAGAGTTTACTGAAAATTGTCATCACTCATCTAGATTTAGGTATCACTTTATGTAAATTTGGGGTTTTGCTTTGAAAAATAATGTCACAGGTTAATTGTAGAAATTTTAGGGAAATACAGAAAAGAACCTTTTTTTCTTACATTTTACCTTGTAAAAACATTGTGCTCCTATTAAATATTCTCAGAAAATACCCTTTTAATGGCTACAGGATATCCAGGTGAATGTCCTATAATTTCATATATATTGCTGGAAATTTTGAGTTTTCCAAATTTCATTGTAAAGAATGATGCAGTGATCTTTATATATGCACTTCTCCCTGAGTTTATGATTATTTTAACTGACAGATTCCCAGAAGGAAAAATACTAGGTAAAAAGAAATAAGTTTGTTTAAGTTTCTTGCTACATATTTACAGAATTCTTAGTAGACATTGTACAAGCTCTCACCAGAAGTTTATAACGAGTATAATCGCTTTTAATCTTTGATAAAAAATTAATAAAATAATATATCTTTCTAACATAGAACTCTTGAAGGAAAAATCACTTTCCTTCAATATCAGAATCACTTCTTCCTTCCCCCTCTTACCTCTGTCTCTCTCTCTTCACTCCTTTGAGTGCAAGTCGTCTCTCGTTTGTTTACGGTTATCCACATTTGGGGGATTTCAAATAAAGCTAGCCCATTTAGGTAAATGTCTATGGTTGATGAAATATAAGAAACCTAATTGAATGTCTATAGTGTCCATCCATTTTCTTTTCTTGCTTATTTTAATGCTCAACCGATAACTTCCTCTAGGTTTTATGTTTCTCAATAAAATGCTCAGTGATTTTGTGATGTACTCTGGGCACAGGGAATGTCAATAAATACTAATTGAGGACAAGGTGTACATGCAACAAAGGGCACACATCTCCGAAATTTTCTGCAAGAGAAAATAGTGAAACTGAATGGAAGAAGTAAATATTAAAGAAAAATAACATTTAAAATAAAAAAATGTTATTTTTCTTTAATATTTACTTTTATTTGATAATTTTGTTAAAAACCAAACACTTAGTACCTGAGCAAGTAACAAGGAT